AGTGGTGCTGGTAGCCAGAGCTTCAGACAGCCCAGCACAGATTTGTAACCGACCATAACTTAGGACTTTGGGGCCAGTATAATTCCCGAAGTAATATGATTTGCTCAGGAAATCATTACAATTAATCTGCATTATTTTCAGTCATGTACCAATAGATGAGTGAGAGGGCAGAAATCAGTCAAAGGCCATACTCGGTCAATAATGGAATTCAGAATTCCCAAAGGTTAATTGGTATGTTTATCACACGTTCAAAGATCATAACTAAGTCAAGAACCAACGCACACAGACCTTTAGTCAAATTCTGCAACCCAAACCTTCCACCCCAATGGGAGGTTACGCTAGATCACTAGGACAAAAGTCACAGGGGACACTCTGTAAAACAACTATGAAGGCAGCGTTGGCAGAACCAAAGACCTTATCCCCAACTAATGCTGTTTCCACGACTAACACCCGTGGTCAGGAAGGGGGCATCAGTGCCGGGATTATCTATTCCTTTTTTTCCGCAAACAGGTACCTCCCCACCGCACAGAGCTCACGCACTCTGCTCGCTGCACCTGTTATTCTGCGGAACTGCTGACTGTGCACTTAGCAGAGCTGGCTAAGGCACCAGCTGTTCTCTGGAGAGAGAATACGCACAGCACGGCTGTTGCTCGGGAGAACACGCCACGGAGTTCACCTTTACCTTAACGCGCTTCCTGGGTCTCGCGACCAGGAATGCCTTATGGCTACCTGGCATGATGGATGAAGCGCAGCCTGAGACACAGGTAAGGGAGGTGGCTGGCACAGGTGCCCTGGAAAATCGAACCACACCTGGAAAGGGGCAGTTAGGAGACGTGCTGTCCCCAAGCAGCGTTCCTGCTGGTCCCGGGCCCCTGCCTCCACCTGTCTGCGCGGATCGGCATTAACGGCGCCGTCTGAACCAGGGAGCAGAGACCGTCACAGATTACACGGTCATTGTCCAACCTTACAGGAAATAAAAGCTGGAATGTGACTCTTTGCCCTGGTTTTCATGATTAGATAGCACCCCCTCTTCTTGGCATTCGATGAGTTATCAAAGCATTTGCAGAAAGTCTGAGTCCAGACCTTGTTGTTTAGTTTTTCCAAGAACTGCTTTTTTCCACAGAATCGAGTCACTGGTTTCCTGAATACACAGGCCACTGCTCTCGCCAACTCTGGGTCACGGGCAAAGGGACCGAGGCAGCTAAGACGTTCTGTAGTGTGTCCAAGGTCACAGAGTATCGTCAGCGCTGAGCAAAGCTTTTAGAAGAGGAGGGGCCACAGCCAGCCCAGACCAATGGACAGAGTGGGAGGGATGTCAACGCACTCTCTAGCAACTAGGTTTCCATTTCCCCCAAACGTAAAATGGATATGATAGTTCTTACAGGGGATTTTAATAGAAATTAGGCGAGATAGTTAACGTGAAGTAACTAACATGGGGCCTGGCATGTCACTGGTGATCAAAAGTTAATTCCTTTCTTCTTTTTCATGTGGAATACACTGTCACCGAGTATGGGAACTCACCCGTACAGATCACCAAGGTTCCTTCTAACCACGAGACTCTGAGAGCCCAGAGTAAATGTGGACTTCAAACCCCTAAGGACACCCCCAATTCCAAGACTTTCTCAGTTGTCAATATTCTACAAAGATGACTCACGGTTTCTAAAGTCATTTTCATTTATATGGGATGACAAGACAACAAAAAAAGTAAGGGGGGGTGTAGGAGGACAAGTTTGGAAAATTAGGTTACATGCAATGGGAAGCATTTTCAATATGCCCCCCTGTTCCCCTGAGAAGTTCTATCCCAGACCATCCGTAGTGAAGGACCTGGGGTGGTTTTTTTGGTTGTTTGTTTTTAAATTCCGATTCATTGTGGAATGACACTTCTATAAAATTCAACAGAAAATAACTAGAGCAATAAAATTACAAAGACATACAAAATACAAGCCCCCGTTAAAGAGGGCTTAGAAATATTCTAAAAACCATCTTGTTTCTCCTACAGATGGGGAAACGGAGTCACTTGCCCATGGTTGTATGGCTAGTGTATGGTTAGCACTGTACTATCTTTACTCAAATTTGTGATATTTTGTTCAGCACAGATCTTACTGCACTTGTTTTGAGAAGGAGGTCATAGGTAGGCATTGAGAAACAATGGATGTCAGGGGTCATTGTACAGGCCACATTGCATGGGCACACCGCATTTAGCCACTGGCTAAAATACCAATGTGCTCGCCAAGGTGGAGGGGAAGATGGAGGTTTTCAGAAAAGTGCCCCAAAGCAAGACAATTACTATGTTCCCTCCATTCTAAGACTCTACTAATCAGAAGATACATGATCAATTTATTCACATCATTTTAGAGGAAAAATGGCTAGTTAAGTTTTTTCTGACATAAGAATCACCCAGATTTCAGAAATAGGAACATACAGGACCCTGACTGTTTTTCCTCTGCTCTCACACCACAACAACCATCAACACAGAACACTCCCATGACCAAAGGGGCTGGGTTTCTCCCCAGTACCACGCAAGCAATCAATTCTGCAGCGGACACCAGTGGGGTGTCCTCCAATTCAATTATGGCCATCTACCTGGAGACAGCGTCAGATCCCACAGCTTGAGGGCTCAGTCCCCAAGGGTGTCCTCTCCACTGCAGACGCCAGTCACAAGTCAGGGCCTCTGGGGACTTCTGCCCAATTGGCTATAAATTGGGGTTCCTGCACCCCCTGTCTTTGGGTTCCGTCAATTTGCTACAGCAGCTCACAGAACTCAGGGAAACTTACATTTATCAGTTAGGAGATGTACAGGGCAAAGGGAGGCGCCATCCCTGGGAACCTCCACGTGTTTGGCTATCCGGAAGCTCCCTGAACCCTGTCCTCTTGGGCTTTCTATAGAGACTTCCTTGGACAGGCCTGAATGACCACTGAGTAGAAAGGGACAGGACGAAAAGGGTGTGATCTAGCACTACTAGGCTGAGTGGGGACACCCACCAGCAGGCCTGTGTGCTCCCGCTCTTCTTGGGCTCTCTGTGCAGCGTTCCTTCCTCCTGGGTATGGGGCAGGAGGTCATCACAAGGGCCAAAAAATGTAAAAGGTTCGTAAAATGCAGGCAATACAGTAAAATGTTTAATTTGGAAGGCACTCAAGTCTGAACTCAGAGAACAAATTTATTGATGAATGATTTTACATATTTATGCAAATCAATTGATAAAAGCACACATTATAACCATTGCTAAAAGCTGCCCCATAGAGGAAACATTTAGTATGAGAAGCAACATTGTGGCCCCCTCCTGACCTCTCCCCCAAGGGCCCCACCGTGACCTCCCAGCCCATTCACCACTTTCTCCCCTCTGACCTCATCTCTCCTTTCAAAGCCAGTTCTCATCAAATGGAGTGATTTATGCACCCTGTAAATCATCATTTTTGACAAGGATTAAAATTGTAAGCTAAAGAAATGACACAAGTAACAACGGGGAGTGATTTTTAGTGGGTGGGAGTGGGCTCCCTTTGTCCTTTAAACCACACTGGACATAGGCTAAAGGCCTGCCCTTCTCTCTTTCTCATCAGTGTTTTGAACATTTTGTGGAATACATCCTCTAACTAGGAGCCAGCCAGGAAAGACCAAGAAATCCCACACCTGTGGGGCCAGGATGGCTACTTGGTTACTGAACCCAGACGGGGTCCCTGCCAGGCACCGCGCTGGGACTGGGAGACCGTCCAGTCTGGCTTGGTTCTGGATTAGAGTGCAGGGGAGAAGGAGGAGGAAGAATACCAACCCAGCCTGTGAACCAAGGAACCACCCAAACTGCAGGGATTTTGCACAAGCTGCTGGAACGTGGGCTGGAGGAGGAATGGGGAAAGATGGCTGAGGCAGGGTTGCTTCTCTCTTCTGGGGGCTGAGGGGGAGGCATGCGCTTTCCCTAAGGCTGTGCCCTACAGTGGGCCGACCACGCCTCCTGAGAAGACAGCAGGGCCAGAGCACACACCTGAAGAGGAGTGAAGACCATCTCTCATTGGTCTCCCCCACCCAGCCGTGTCTCCAAAGCGACCCAGTTGTGTTCTTTGCGTGGTGCCCTCCCTGCATTACTGATTACAGCAGCAGCTGAGCTGACTCAGCATTCCGGCAGCTCAGGTGGCCTTCGGGGTCACCACATCCTCAGAAACTAGAGCAGGAGGGGAAGCAACCCCAGACCCAGCACTCACCTACTTCCAACCCAGGTGCCAAGGTGAGGCCAACACTGGAAGCATAGGGGGTGGGGCCACACCGCCCCCCCTCCTAGCAACCCCCTAGGGGCCGGGCCAGGGCGGTGGCAGATCCAGGACTGGCACTCAAAAGTGCCTGGCAGCACGTGGCGCCCCCGCTCGGTTTCCGGCCCTCTCCTCCACCGGCGTCTCCCCGCAGTCTTAGGAACCCCGCGTGCCCCGCAGCGTGGGGACACGCACTTACCGCGGATACACTGCGCAACTCTTGATGAACCTGTAAAAAGCCAGATTTGGGGGCTGGGGGCGGGTGAAAAGCCCGCAGTCACCCCGCGCCACAGACCGCCCTCTGGGCGGGGCGGCACCCCCGGGGCCACGGGTTTCTGCGAAGAAGCACGTGCTGGCCACCGCGCAGCCCACCCGAGCCGAGCCGGGACTTCCACCGCCGCCGGGCCTGCGGCGGGCGGGGTGCGCGTGCGTGCGCGTGCTTAGGGGGTCGGGCATGAACGGACAGTGGGCACGACGGGGATCAGAAAGCGGCTCCGAGCGAGCGCAGCCCCGGCGGACCGTGCGCGGCGACCGGCGGCGTCGGTAGTGGGGAGCGGGCCCCGCGCCGCACGCCGCGCACTTCCTGTTCCAGGCGCGCCGCCCTCCAGCGCGCGGCGCCCCGCGAGCCTGCGTCGGTGCAGGCCCGGCCCCTCGCGGGCCCTCGCGGGCCCCCCGGCCGCTGCGCGGCGGGGGCCGAGGAGAGGGCGCCCTGCCCGGCTCGGCCCGCGGGGCTCCGGGCCCCCTCCCCGCGGGGCCGCCGCCAGAGCGTGCGCCCGCGGCCGGCGACAGCCCAATTGCGAGGAGTGCTCGCCTTGCGCCTCCTCTTCCCCCGCCTCCTCGCCCCGAAAGGAGGACGGACCTGGTTCCCGGCCCCGGGCCGGTTTATTCTGCGGCCGGGGATTATGTTTATGTGCGGACGGTCCCGCTGTCGCCCAGGCCCCACTCGGCCACGGGCATCGGAGGCAGGTTCTCCGAATTACGGGTTTTAATTGCACCTGCCTTGCAGATTACCTCTGGGAATCTGTGGGAGGAGCCGAGCGCGTGGGGATGTTGCTTCGCTCTGCGAAAGGAGGAAAACTTTGTCACCCGGCAGGAGACCTCGGCCACGCGTAACCGGGCGGGCGCAGACCGGGCGCGGCGCTGGCGGAGCCCGCGTCGGCTGACTCCGGGGGCGCGCGGACTCGAGCCACCCGCTCCACCCTCCCGCCCGCGGAAGTGCCCACGAGTGGCTTCAGGGGGAAGGACAGTAACAGCGCGCGGCTCCAGTCCGACAGCAGCGGCCGGGGACAGAAGGCGAGGACCGAATCCCGGGGACGAGTCACCCGGAATTAACTTCTGCTTAGAGTTATGGGAAGCGCGGCCATGGACACCAAGAAGAAGAAAGATGTTTCCAGCCCCGGCGGGAACGGCGGCAAGAAGAATCCCAGCCAGAAGAGGCGTTCGCTGCGAGTGCACATTCCGGTGAGTCCCAGCCCCGCCGTCCCGGCTCCCGCCCGCCCGCCGCGCCCGCCCGGAGCCCGAGCGGTTGACGCGGGCGCCCCGCGCGCTGTGCGTGCCCCTCCTGTCACTTCGGCAGCCGGGCGGGTAGAGGGGCCGGAGCCGGGCCGGGGCTCGATCTCGCTCCCCAGCCGCGTGCAGTGGGGCTCGGGGCCGTACTGGGCGAGGGCCGGGCGGCTGCGGACGCGAGGGGGCGCGGGGCGCGCTCCGGGCCGGGCGCGGCCGGTGGGCGGCTGGGCGTGGCCCGGGATCCCGCCGGTGCGGGTGCTGGGGGCGGCGCGCTGTGTTGTTTTGCTGAAAAAGGACGGTGTGGACTGCGCTCCGGGAGGTGGAGCCCCAGCGCGGCCGCGGGGGAGGGGTGGTGGGTGGGGACAGCAGCGGGTGGGGGGGCTATGTAGCTGCTCCCTCAAGCGGACCTCCCCACCCCAATTTCCCTCGGGGTGTTTCTGGGCCCGGGATGGGACTCCTCCGCGGCCGTTCCTTTCGCCCGCCCCCGGGGTGGTGTTTCGGGCCCCGTAGTATTTGGGGGCTCGGGGGCCCCCTAACCCGTGCAGGGCTGGGCGGACTTCAGCCCCGGCCACGCGGCAGCATGCGCTGGACTTTGGCGACTTCGATGGGTCTGTGGCTTGACTTTGTCCAGGGAGAGCGGCGGGCTGGGTCGGGCGCCTTCCCTTCGGGTGGCCCGCCCAGGTGGTCCCCAGCCGCTTGTCCTCCGCTTGTCCTCGCCTCCTCTCGGGGGTCGGGTGGTAGGACCTTTACCGGGTCGCACCCTCCGCCTCAGCCCACTGAGTAAATGTTTGCACACACACACACACACACAAACACGCGCACACACGCGCGCGCACACACACACCCTCCGCCTCAGCCCACTGAGTAAATGTTTGTACACACACACGCGCACACACATGTGCGGGCGCACACACACACACACACACACACACACGGCTTCGTGGAGAATGTTATTTTGTTCTCTGTCCCGGATGGCGGGTCTCAGGGCAGGATGGGCGTGCAGTGAGTCCACCCTCCTCCGAGGGCTGCGTGGACACCTCATTAGAGCTAACCCTGCCGGGCAGCAGGGACAGCGGTGCCTGGTCGCTAACTTTCCACTGCCAATCCCGCAGGAGCACTGTCCTCCTGTGTTTGCTGAGTGCAGCTCTTCCTTTCAGATTCCCCCCAGGCCCACATGTGTGTAACACTTAGATGACAAGGTGGAGTCCAGGGAATGAGCCCCAGTCACCTGCAGGGCAGCAGCCTGAAGTGGCCCCTGGGCCAGCTCTTCCTGGCCAGGGGAGCTCAGTGGGCAGGTGACTGGAGCCCTGGCTGCCGTGTGGCCACCATCGTGGCAGCTGAACATGCAAGAATAAGCATTCTATTTCAAAACGAAATTTTCCCGTTTAGATCTCTCATGGAAAACATTTTAAAACCATATTTGTCAGTTAAAAGTTAGACATTGCTACTGCAAACCGCTTTTTGACAAGGGGTCACCTGAATGAGCCATTTAACCACTCAGTTGTCCCATTTGTCAGGTGTAGAAAATAATACCCATTTTGCCTGCTTTACAGGGATGTTTATAATAATGCATGGGAAGGTCTTTACAAATTTAAAGTGTTGTATAGACGTATGGACATTACACATGCACCCGAGCACCTAACGTAAAAAACAGAGAAAGAGAGAGAGAGAGAGAGAGAGAATAAAAAGAACAGGGCATTGTCCCGTGGACAGGACGTTTTGTGTTGAGGCCAAATGGTGATGAGGCCAGTCCCCAGGGCTGCGTGTGTGGGCGTGCTCACGGGGGGCGGTGCCAGTGGTGGTGTCAGACCAAATCCCAAACCGGAAAAAGGATGGAGAGTCCAGGCTGTGAACACTGAAAAACCACGTAATAGTTGGGATACTCGGACCACCCTTCTTGCTGCTGGTGGCGACTTTGGCAGCTTCTTACAACATTCTTGGCATGATCCAGCCCTTACACCAAGTAGCATTCATTCGATTGTTCCACAGCTGCTACCCGAGTGTGCCCGTGTGCCTAGCGCGCTGGTTGTGGTGAGATCTGGTGTGAGGGTGGGCAGAGGAGAGGGACTCAGTCTAAGTCCCCACAGGGTTTGCTGTTGCTGGTGGGACCGAATACTAATTACCTGTTGATTGTTGTGCCAGGCTAGGTGAGAGTTATGGCCGAGCTGGGAAAATAAGGCTTTTAGACAAATGCTAGCCAGTGATCCAGGTCATAGGATGACCAGTGCAGGCGGCACCTGCTTTAGAGGTGAGAGAAGGGCGCGATGTGTTCAGAGAGACTTTGGCACCTGACACGGCAGGCAGGAGAGACGTGCAGGAGCAGTGGTGGCGCTGGTCCCAGCAGGGAACAGGCTTGAGCACCCTGTGGCCCCACGGAGTCGGGGGTTTGGACGGCTGCTCCCAGGTACAGTGAAGAGCTGCTTCTCGTGGAGAAAGGGGTTTGGGGACCGGATCCAGCAGGCCCCTGAAGCAGGGTTGCCAGATTCAGTAATAAAAATACAAGATACTCAGATAAGTTTGCATTCCAGATAAACAACAAATAATTTTTAGCACAAGTATGTCCCATGAAATATTTGGGATATACTTATACTAAAAAATGATCATTGTTTATGTGAAATCCCAGTTTAACTGGATGTCCTCTATCTGACCTGGCAACTCTGCCTTGGTGGCCAGGCTCAGGGCCTGAGGACTTCCTTCCAAAGGCAGGGAGAGGCTGTGGTGGACACCGTTGCTGGCCTGCCCTTGAAGGCCAGGGCCTAGCCTGAGCCAACCTGCAGCCTTGGTGGACAGCTTCTCAGTGCCTTTCTCTCTGCCCAAAGGAATCCTATCAGACTATGGCAGCTTGCTCAGGCCAGTGCAGGGACACCTGGAAGTACAGGGACACCTGGAAGTGCTGGATTGTGCCCCCAGGGGCGGCCCTCACCCCAGAAGGGGTGCAGCTGGTGGGGTAGCCCAGCCTCCCCATTCCTTGGCAGGGCAGTTCTGATGTTGGCTCTGCAGGGTGACTGGGGTCCCTCGTAGGGTTGAGCCCCTATTGCCCACAGTGGTGGCCCACCGATTAATGTCCCTTCTTGGCTTTCCTGGCCAATTCCTGCCTCACATTCCCCACTCTCTCGCTGGAACGCCCTAGAATGAAGTACTGAACCTAAGTCCTTATCTGGGCTTCGTTTTTTTGGGGCTGGGGACCTGAACTAAGAAGCCATTAAAGGTGATGAAAACGCTTCATGAGAACTCACCTGGGCAGGTGTGCAAAGCAGAGTGATGGGAAGATGGCCTGCGTCGGGGGAGCCAACTCAAATGCTTTGGCAAAATTCCAGGGTTGAGGGTCTGGGGCCTGAACTGTGGTCGCAAGGAGAGAAAATCAGAGAAGGCGGATAGGAGACACAGAAGGAAGGGTGGTGAGCCTCCATGTCGAATCATGGCAGGGAGACACAGAGTGAGTTGGCAGGAACTGATCTAGGGATATTTGGCATAAGGGGCCAGTTCGGGGAGCAACTGTGGGCCCAGTTGTAGCGTGGCATACGGAATCTGGGGCACGTGTGTCCTCCCACGTCAGAGGGGATGCTGTTTCCGAGGATGTTTTGGATTCTAAGGAAATGCTCCTGAAGGACACTGGCTCTGGCAGTCCTGTGAGTGGGGTCATTTGGTGGCATCCAGCAGCCTTGGGGTGAGGAGGCTTCCTGGGGTCCCTGGGGTCCAAGCAGCTCATCTCTTTGTTGAATTGGACCGAGTTTCTTTCGGGACACCAGCCTGCACCACAGCCTAGTGTGGGGAGAATCACCGAAGACCCCTTCTCTCAGGCTCTGAGTAGCTTTACCTGTTTTCCCCTCTTCCTGCCGGTAGCACCTGTGAGTCTCGGGGCACTAGAAAAAGGGAATCCATTTTAGGGGACACCCTTGGGTCAACGGGTAGTAGCAGGTGATGGAGACCCAGAAATACTGAGTAATCTCTAAAGTGACTTTCCCCTTCCAGGGGAAGGGAAGAGGGCCCTTGGGCCTACCAAGGATGTGGCCTAGCTTGATATCAGCCTCTTTCTCAGGCAGTGGGCAAACCATGGGCTCTTGTCAGAGGAGAAGGGAAGACCCAAAGGTCGAGGAAGAACTGAGAGCAGATTCCTTCCTGAGGTTACCCTGGCCTTTAAAAGTAGTGAGCGAAGCCAGGCGCAGCGGCTCATGCCTGTAATCCTATTACTCTGGGAGGCCAAGGCGGGAGGATTGCTTGAGGTCAGGAGTTCGAGACCAGCCTGAGCAAGAGCGAGACCCCCCTGTCTGCAGGAGGATCGCTTGAGCCCAGGAGGTCGAGGTTGCAGTGAGCTATGATGACACCACGGCACTCTACCCAGGGTGACAGAGAGAGTCTCCGTTGCAAAGATAAATAAATAAATAAGTGGCCAGTTGGCATGCGGCCTCACCTCTGCTCTGAGCCTCTATGCCTCATGTAGAGCAGGGACGATGACAGAGGTGGTGGGGATGGTTTTAGAAGATGATTCAGTGGAAGTGTGGCTGTGAGTGGCATTCTGCCAGAGCTTTGGGAACACGCATGTTCTTTCTCCTTTTTGTCTAAGAAAGAGCAGCATTGCTGTTAGTGCTGAAATCCATGCACCTCACACACGTACTTTAATCAGTGACTGCTGGCTGGCCTATCATGGGTTTACCAGTCAGGGACAGAGCAGGAGGCCCGGGGGGGGGGGGGAGTGCCTCGATGAGAAGGACCTGAGGCCGGAGCCTGTGGGGACACTGAGGCAGGCTAGGGGAGCTCAGCTGTTCGCTGCTGGGTAGGGTCTTTCTGATAGAGGGAACACGTGCCCGGCCCGGCCTCCTTGGGAGAGGTGCTCCAGAAACCTTCACAGTCACGGGAGACAGGCTAAAATTAGAGCCAAGAAGCAGCTAGCCAGTCACGGAAGGTTCCGGAGGCAGGACTTGGGCCGGCTCGTGGCTCACGGTGCCTTCTCCTGCTGCGTGGCCTGGAGGGAAACCTCACGCTGCCCGAGGCCTGGCACCCTCCTGCCGATGACGGGCCTGGGGCCTTTGCTCCCCGCTTCTGCCTGCCAGCCTCTGTCCAGCCAGATGGGGCGCGCTGTGGCACTCCGGGAGCTACGGCCTGCCCCGGGGGCGGGAGGAGCCATTGAGGACGGTGTGCTCTACTCTCACACCCACTGAAACACCCCGGATTAAAATCTTGGCCTTGGGAAAGTGGAGGTGTCAGCTCGGACCTTGATGTTGGCCTTTAACCTTGAGCTTGGTCAGGTTGTGCCGCCCTAAGCAAGATTTGTTGGGTTAAGGTTTAGGGCAGTGTTTTTCAAAGTGTGGTTCCTGGACCAGCTTAAGTAGAGCCACCCAGTATTTGTTTGAAATGTAAAATCCTGAGTCTCAGCAGACCTACGGGGTCAGAACCTCTGAGGTTGGGACCCCAGCATCTGCGTTTCTCCAGGTGACTCTTGCGCCTGCTGGGGTTTAAAAACAACGGGCTTCCAGCTTTGCTGGTGTAAAACCCATCCATTCCTTCTGCCCCCGTGAGTTATTCCTTCTGTCTGCCCACCATCTCCCTGTCTGTCTGCATGTTTTCAGCTGTCGCCGTGAAGAGATAGCCTTGGCTACGGGCTGTTCAGTAGAGGCTCCTAGGATATTTCTGGCTTCCAAATGACAATGAACACCTAGATCGGCCTCCGGCCAGAGTAGCCTGGGGAGGGGGGGCTGGCGGCCTGACAGGCCCCACTGGAAGGTTTCTTGACTCAGCCTTTCAGTGGCTCTTGGGTGCCCTGAGCACAGTCCCTTTTAGGGCCCAGAGCATGACATCAGGGCCTTTGGTAGCCAGGCCACTGGGAGAGGGAGCCCCCAGAACTGTCCTGTGGCTCCAGGGTTTATTTATGGCAAAGCCCATGTCCTGGCTGTGAGACGGCTGACCAGATGGCCCCCGAGCAGGGGCTGGGCGCGGTCCCCTGCTGGGCCCGTGGAGGGAACAGGCAGCTGGAGCGTGGACGTGGGATTCCCCTTCCTCGAAGACCCTACTGCCTGGCTCGGGGGGAGCAGGGACCTGCGCCAGGCAGCGCACCGGGGAGTGGTGTAGAGCAGGCCCTGCCCCATGCATGTTCAGGCGGAGGTGTCACCCCGGCGCTGAGTTCCTCGTCTCATCCTCTTATCCCCACTTTACAGACGGCCCAGCTGAGAAAAAGCCACCCTCACTGTTCCGTGGTGGACTGCCTGGGTAACTGTGGCGGAAGGGAAGTCTAGCCGCCTCCCCTCACCCTGCTCCTGCTCCTGCTCCGTCCCGGCACCTGTCTGTGGAGAGTTACAAGACAGTCCTATAAACAAAGTCCTAAAGGTCCTAAATGCTGCAGGGTAGCCTAATGACAAGTGCAAATATTTAAATCCTGGACCGTTATTTCACTGAAAGGACAGCTCGAGCGCTGAGGCTGCATAACAGAAGCAGCAGCCCACATAGCCTGTGGGTTCAATGTTGCATCTTTTCACACATCACACACTTTTAGGGCTCTCGGTGCTTCACGAGCATCTTTCCCTGCCTGTTTGCTTCGAGCCGCCCTCCTCCAGTAAAACCTAGCAACACTGTGTTACCCGTCTCCACTCCGGGTTTGCAATTTTGACTGTGCTTAGCGTTAGATCGACTAAAGAAATCATTTGGAAGCACTTTTTATTTGCTAACGCCTCCTCATTGGCTCAGACTTCATTTATGTAACTTTTAAGTCAGTTTGCATCTTCTGAAACCTTCAGAAAAATTAACGTGCTTTTAAATGATGCTGTTTCTTGACTGTTTGTTTTCTTTTACTTCTCTCATTATGATTTATTCGGCTCGCTGCCCAGGGGACTTTCTGTTTCCAGGAACCTTTTTCCTTTTATGGGGGCTTCTAAGTTGTTGAGCACAGCCACCAACCCCACGAAGAGCTGGATGGGGACCCGGCCCCCCCCCTGCTCCGTCCACCCTCCCTGCCCTCGACCAGACATGAACGGTGAACACGCTCGCACACGGAACAGGCTGGCTCCCGTCCCTTCTAGGAGGGCGGACCGGCCCATCTTGATAACTGCACAATTTTGATGTCTTTTAAGATGTGAACCAAGCAAAGGCAGATAAAGTGCCGAGCTGCCGAACTGCAGCAGGGTCCTGAATTTGCTTGGTCTGTTAACCGCAACTTGGTCTAAAAGGAGCAGAGGAGCCACCTGAGCGGGAAGCCGTGTCCCTTGGGCTCAACTGCGGGAATGCTCGGGAGACCCCCTGCCACCCTGTTGGTTGCATGGGCTGTGCAGCCAGGCCCGAGGCAGTGGTTCCGTATTTTTTTTTTTTTTTTGTTGAGACAGAGTCTTACTTTGTTGCCCAGGCTAGAGTGAGTGCCGTGGCGTCAGCCTAGCTCACAGCAACCTCAAACTCCTGGGCTCAAGCAATCTTCCTGCCTCAGCCTCCCGAGTAGCTGGGACTACAGGCATGCGCCACCATGCCCGGCTAATTTTTTCTATATATGTTAGTTGGCCAATTAATTTATTTCTATTTATAGTAGAGACAGGTTTCACTCTTGCTCAGGCTGGTTTCGAACTCATGACCTCGAGCAGTCCGCCCGCCTCGGCCTCCCAGAGTGCTAGGATTACAGGCGTGAGCCACCGCGCCTGGTCAGTGATTCCGTATTAACTGGCTGTGCTTCCCCAGAGAGGAAGAAGGAACCCCGGGTTGGACTGTTTGTTTTAACCCTGCCTTGAAATGGTTAATTGGAATCTCACTCATCTCTTTCTTCCACTACCTACTTTGAAAATAATGCGATCTCCATCCTTTACTTCCTGTCGACAGGAAGCCCTCTCTGTCAGCCCATGGCCTGTCACAGACCAGGCGGGTGTGACCCCGGCGCTGGGGCTTCTGCCAGGGCCTCTGTGTTTTGATATTCTCTGCCCTGGCAGCGAAGTTGCTGATGAACGTACAACAAACACCAATTTGCTCTCGGTCTCCCCAGGGTGCCAGCCTCTTGTCCACGAGGCAGAGGCCCGTCCTCGTGGCGGGAAGCCCTGCAGCCCTGCGGTCCTCCCACGGCAGGGGAGCCCAGCGGGGTGGGGAGCCCTGCAGTGACCTCCGTTTGTGCTGGGGAGGTGGAGAGGAAGCGTGCAACAGGACGAGGGAAGAATTATAGAAGATAGGGCACAAACTTCTCAATTTGTAAATAAAGAAATGGAGAGCTGAAGAATTGCCAAGAACCGTGTTTACAGCTAGTGCTGGGACTGGGGCCGGTCGGCTCACTGAGGTCTGTTTTCCAGGCACCGTTGAGGGTTGAGCTGTTGAAGGTACAAAGATGAACAGTGTTATTCAGGGTTGAATTGTAGTCTCCAAAAAAGTATGTTGAAGTTTTATAGCCCCCAACCGGGTACCTGTGAATTGCACATGTGATTAAGATGTAAGTTAGGATGAGGCCATTAGGGTGAGCCCTATGCAAATGCCTGGTGCCCTTATAAGAAGTGGGGAGTGTGGACTCACAGGCAGAGGGGAGAAGGGCCTGTGAAGACAGAGGCAGAGGCTGGAGCGATGCCACCACAGGCCACGGAACGTGGGGCGACCAGAGGTGGGCGAGGCAGGGACTGACCCTTCCCTGGAGGTTCCAGAGTGAGCATGGCCCTGAAAACGCCTTGATCTCACACTTCTGGCCTCCAGAGGAGCTGGGAGGGAACACCTTCTCTTGGTTTAGGCCCCAGTTTGTGGCTCTGTGTTACGGCAGCCCCAGGAGCCGAATCTAAGCGTAGCAGGGGCAGCAGTCTCCGTTCTCAGAGCGCCGAGGGGAGGCCACTGCAGCACGGCCTGAAGAGTGGGCCCAGGCCGCAGGAAGGGGCCACTGCTTTCCACCGTCCACAGCTCCTCGGCTGCATTCCTCCCGAGATCCGGCTCTTCCCCGCCACCCCCTCCCTTCCCTGCTAGACACCGTCGTGCATGGGGCTGGGAGAGAACTGAGGACGTGGTGGAGGCTGGAGTGGCAGCTCCAGGGCCCAGGCTGCTCTCTGGCCCACGGCACCCGCCTTGGCCATGCTCATCCCTCCTGTGCAGCCACCGAGACGCCGTGTCCCGCAGCCGCGGGAGCAGAGAGGTGGGGAGGGATGCCGCTCTGTCACCCGCTCAGCTTCCAGAAGACCGGCAGGCGAGCTCCAAGCAGCTGTCTGTCTGTTGGACTAACGTGGACACCTTCCACCTGGCTGCACCCTGCGCACGGCATCGGCCATGCAGATAGCCCTGGGTCGAGGGCTTGAAGCTAACGTCCCCTCCGCCGCATTCCCGCCTGCAGCATGTCGTGTAAAGAGTGCCCAGAGAGCACCGTTCGTCTGCGCAGTTCAGGTACTGCTTGATGGGTTGCACTCGTGTCGGTGATGGCTGCTCGATGTTATTGATTAACAGATACCGTCACGGTGGTACGTTGTCATCAGATTTAGCTAATATTGATGGAGCACGTGCCATCTGCCAGATGTGTGCTTTTGTATAAGCCATCTCTTTTTGTCTCTCAATAATCCAGTGAAGTATCACTACTGCTGTTATGAGTCGTATTATCCTTATCCAAAAAAAAAGGAATTTAGGCCATCTATGGCTTATGGCCATTCTCGCCCTACCTGTAGAGAAAAAAACGTCTGTTGTGTCTTGGTTGGGTTTTGGCATCTCTGCTCAGGCCTGGCCCGGATGCCCGTGAACGGCCACGGCCATTTGGGGGTAGGATGGGCCCGTGAGGACGGATGGCCGGGCCAGACAGACGCCGCGTGTGGTGGGCACAGGGGAGACGGCACATGCTGTTGCCTTCGGTGGCCTGCCCCTGGGGGATCAAGCTTCGTGCTCTTCCTCTGGCGCCTTTTTAGATGAAGGTCACTGAAGGTTATTCTGTTCTCATCTCAGAAATGAATAAGCTCTCTTCCATACTTTCATAGATCCGCTCTCTCTGGCTCATCTTTCTCATGTTTTTGCTTTTGTTTCTTAAATAACTGGCTATTGGAATAAACACTAAGCCAGGACTCAGGAAATCCTGGTGGCTCTGCTGTCAGGTGTCCGGGGGACTTCTTCTGAGTTATCCAACATTAACCACAAGCCTGGGTGTGCCAGGCACGGCGCAGGGCATCACTGTGACCAGGATGGGCATGGCCCTCCCCCTCCCCTGCCAAGGCTGAGCCTCGGGCATGCCGTCACCCTGTCAGTCCGCTGCTGCTGCTGCTGCTGCTACCAAAGCACCAGAAGCAAAGTGACCTGTAACGGCGGACGTTTATCCTTTCTCACCGTTCTCTAGGTCAGCCGAGAAGTGCTTGTGGCCCGGGCTGGCTCGACTGAGCTCTGTGGCCAGCTGGCGGTTTGGCGGGGGCAGGGGCCCAGGGCGGCCTGCTCACGTGTCCGCCCCTCGCCTGGTTGGCTCCACGCCAGCTGGGCCAAGGGGACGGCTGAGCCCTGTGTCCAGCAGGCCGTCCGGCCAGCAGCAAGAGGGCAAGCCTGAAGCACAAAGGCTCGTCAAGCCACTGGCCGTAGCCAGTCACACGGCTCAGACTCCAGGGACAGAGCGTGGGAAGGGCTCAAGGTCATAGTGCAAGGTCATAAGCCCAGGGACCAGAGATGGATCAGTCAGTTAAGCTCTCTAGATCTGCTTACATATATAACACATTAATGTATGGTGTGATTAATAGTATCAAACTATATTACATATTATTTAAATGATATATATACTATATAGATTATATAATATATAAACATTAAAAAAGGGCTGGAGTCTAGGTCTCCATTTGGGTGGAGTGCCCTGACTGCAGGAAACGGAACTTTGTCAAAACAGGATGGTGGCTTTTGAGGGGCGTGAGGGGTGTGCAGAGGGTCAGGAGAGCCATGTCCTTGCAAAGCTGGGTTTTTGATAGTGTCACCGGAACCCTCCCGTCTCTGCTGCCGAAGATGAGTGAGTGTCCCAGGAGATATTCCGCCCCTGGGGAGCAGCCAGTATCCGGAGAACAGAGAGGTTCCTTGTCCCCTCACCACTCTCCTTTGCTTGTTCAGTGTATTTTGAGATTTCTGAAATGACCTCGGGGCACAGGTAACAGAATATTCTCGGCTCAGAGACAGAGGGAAATGTCAGGCAGTGACACCAAAGTGGCCTAGGGCAGGAACCTGGCCAGGTGACGTCTGTGCCGGGCCTGCCGGGTGCTGCCAGGTGTGGTAACGGCCCAGAGGACGCGTGGTGGCCCCTGGGAGCCAGAGGGGACGGAAGCTGCCTCCTGGACCGCTGTACAGCGAGGAGGTTAGGAGAGGCGAAGTGACCGCCAGAGTCACATGGTTGCCAGCGGCAGAGCAAGGTTTCAGCCTCGGAGTTTCCCCTGGAGGAACGTGGGGGAGAGAGGAGAGCCCCTCCGGCAGGCCAGTGTCATGGCCACAGGTCAGTCCCATCCGCCTGGCCCGTGGCTCTCTGCCAGAGGTCAGGAAGCTGCGCGAAAGCCGTTCTCTTTTGCGCTGGCTCCAGACGAGGGCTGTGGGCGTGCTGCGTACAGACCCAGGCCGCAGGCTCCCTTCCCGCCACCGCTTTCCTCTGCCTTCGCTGGACGCGGCAACATGGGTTTTCAGGAAAGGCTCAAGTCAGAGTTCGGCCTGGCTGCAGGCGGAGACTTTGCAGTGATGAAGCACGGCGCAAAGTCAGATGGACGTGTTGGTTGTGTTCCCGTTAAATGGCGCTCTACCCCTGGGAGGAGCTGCGTGCCCTTGCCCCGCGGGTGATTCTCGGCCAAGGCTTCTGTGCCGCCAGCTTCGGGCCTTCCGTGGCAGGGAAGGAAAGCAAGCCGGACTGGGCAAGAGGGAGAAGTTGGGCTGTGAGGCACTCACAACAAAGGCCCTCGCTGGCCCCCTGCAACATTCTGGAACTGGGAGGGCCCTTCAGAGTTGTCCCAGATTGGGGAGAGAGGGCCAGGCCTTTGTACTCTCTCGCCGTCCCCAGGGAGGGGATGTGCACCTGGCTGAGCCAGGTCCTTCTGCAGGGGCAGCCTCAGCTTGGCGCCGGTGGCCAGCACCTGCACCCACCACACCACCTCTTTCTGCGTCTTATTGTTTTTCTTTTGATGTGTCCAGCCTGTCTCCTTAATTAAACCGTAAGATCCTTTAACGATGGCATGTGTCTATACCTTGTCACGTCCCAGCCCCAGGAAGCCGCACACGGCCAACCCTAGCATTGATGATGATGGTGGTAAGGAAATGCAGAAGCCAAACTAGCAGGGTGGGAGGGAAAGCCGTGTGGCAGTTTCTGAGAATGAAATGCTTGGTTAACTCTGTGAACTAATTTAGAGAAATCTGGGTGAAATCAATCATTTACAAATCCTAGGGGAGCCACATATCCTAAAGAGAAAACGTTCAGACAAATCACGTCTTGTTGGTTCAATAAAAGGGCGAATTTGGCCAGGTGTGGTGGCTCACGCCTGTAGTCCCAGGCACTCTGGAGGCCGAGGCAGGAGGATTGCTTGAGCCCAGGAGTTCTAGGCTGCAGTGAGCTACAATCTCACCACTGCGCTCCTGCCTGGGCAACAGAGAGAGACCCTGTCTCTAAAAAAATAAACAAAAATTTTTAAAAAGGGCAAATTTTAGGAACATTATCGTTCGTTGTTTTTTCTTTCATCTCCTACCTGGGACAGTTACTTGGCCTTTTGCTCAGGCTAATTGACTGGCAACAGCGCCATAAATCTTCCAGGAGCTGTTTAGATGGCACGGTGGTCCTGTGATTGGAGACTGGCCGGGCACCTCCACTGACATCAAACCTGCAGCGCAAATAAAGAGGGAGGGGACTGTTGGCCCAGCCCCGTGGGCCTCTCCACTTCCAGGGATCTCTGCAGCCCCCGGTGCTGTTGGTGGAGGAGCATCTAGCTGCTGGGGACAGGCACGGACCCAGCCGTCACTCGTATCAGATTCTCAAGAGCAGAATCCTGTGTGTGAGCAGGAGAATGGGTGGCTGTGGTGGAGGGAGCATGAGTTTGGGCGCTGGAGACCAAAGTTGCAAGCCTAGTGCCACCATTGGCTTCCTGTGCCCTCCTGGGCACTTTACTGACACTCTCTCAGCCTCAGTTTCCTCACTTGTAAAATGGGGATAATCCCCTCCTCACAAGATTTGGGGGACATAAAATGAGATGCCACAGATAAAGAGCAAGACGCCTGTGCTCTAGAAGTGTTGGTTTCCCTTCCCCCATTGGGTGTCCCCTGGGGAGGACCACCCTAAGAATTTCGCTGTGGCCACCATCCCACCCCAGGTTTTCTGGGAATGGCCCCAGGTTAAGATAACTTTATTCTTTTCAAGGGAAGTGATTTCTTAATTATACATTTGAATGTGAATTCCTTTTTAATCCCTTGTAAGGCTCTGGCTAAATACACATATAAATTTGTTCGGCAGGTCTCCTTATTTGCAGTGAGATGGTCCAAAGCCAAGGCCCTGAGCCCAGAGGGAAAGCCAGCGGGAGCCCCTAGTTCTGAAGGTGTGGAGCCTTTAACTGAGAGTGCATAGCAATGGCCTTGGGTCCACGTGGCAGGAACTTGAAGGCCACGTCTTGGGGTGGGGCTGCTGAGAGGTGGGGTGGTGGGTACAGAAACCTTCCCTGGCAAGGATTAACTACAAGCAGAACATGGTGACTTGAGGACCTCTGGAGTCTTGCCTGCCTCTGTGTCCCTCTACCGTGGACCTGTCAGGACGCCGGTAGGTCACCACGCATGGAGATAGGTGGGAAGGCCCTGTGAGAATGTATGTTTCCCAGGCTAGGACATTAGGGTTTAGAAGAGGTGATGAGCCGCTGGCCTTCTTACAGATCAACTTATCAGGTTAGTACGTTTTCGCGCTCTTCTCCTTGCGCCATCTAGCAGGGGTCTCCTGGGGATATTTAGCACCTTGACTCCTGAGAATACATATTCTGGGGCCTCCTGTCCACCAAAACCCACCCAGTCTAATCCCTGAGCAAAGATCTTCATGATATGCGGATACCGAAAATGGCAGGAGGTTCCAGGGTACACGTAAATGAAAGTGTAAAACGACCTCATATTTCTAGAAGCCACGAGAAGCCAGTTGGCTTCAGCCGCCTTCCAATCGAGACGTTGGTCGGCGCAGGGGAGCGCGGGGTCAGCCCTGGGCCCGGCCCGGAGCAGGCCGGTGCGGGAGGAGGAGCTGAGCTGCCACGCGGTCTCAGCCAGGGCCGCCGTCCACCCTGGGAGGTGGCCCCGGATGGCCGTAAGGGTTGGGGACAGTTGTTTGGAGACACGCTGTCGGTGACCTTGGGGCAAGGTGCTCAGGCGGCCTGCGCAGGGGAAGGCGCCCTTGGTTCCCAAAGAGGCGTGGGGGAGGCGCATCACGGCACACCGGACCCCTTAGGGAACAGCGGGGGGAGGGGGCGGGACTTGCTATTCTTCGTCTCCTCCAGCCCCTTCCTTCCTCGCGACATGACACAGCAGTTCAGCGTGGCATGGGAGGTGGAAGGAACGGCAGTGCCCACCGTCTGGTGCTCCAGCGAGGTCCCCGCGACGGTCGCGGTCAGACGCGGAGGGAAGGGAGAGCAGCGGCAGCTTCGGCAGGAGCCGGTATTCCTGACCCAGCGCCCTCCGGCGTGCACGGGCGTCGCCCCCCCACCCCCGCGGCGGCCACGTGAGCCCCCGACCTAGAGACGGGAAAGTCTACGCTGCAGAGCCCACGGGCGGGCGCAGCCGGCGGCAGGCGGAGCCGTCTGGCACGCGCGCCCACACGCTGCACCGCTGCGGAGCCGGGCAGATGGTGCTGGCAGGCGGCGTGCGCCGGGAGCATGCGCGCGGGGGAGAAGGGTGTTCACTCCCAACCGTTTTAATGGGCAAGTTACAGTCATGTTAGTCTGAAGCCGTTTTTTTTTTTCTTTGTTTTGGTACGTCCAGCTCTGACGGGCCCAGCTTGGGCACAGCCTCCACGCTCCAGGGCTGAGGCTGGCAATAGCCCACCCAGGCCGCTGTCCCCCCACGCCGCCGTCCCCCAGCATTTGCCTTGTTCCTGGGGGTCTGGCAGCCACGAGCCAGCGGGAGAAAAAAGGTCCTGGCTGTCACCCAGCAAAAAGCACTGACTCTGCCCGGCTCTGACCTCTCACACCGTCTTCCGCGGGCTGCTGCGTGTTGGCCACTCTCTTGGCCCAGGGCAGGCCCAGGACTCACCTGTCTCGTGGCCCCCGTGGGCTAACCACGCTCCTGAGTCCACAGCGGGCATTCGTTACAGCAACGATCCGCCCTCAGCTAGTTGAGAATTGATGGGTCTTAGGATTTTTTCTAATATTGGTTCTGAAAGTTATGCTCGTTTGTGTCTTCGGAGCCCTAAAAGATACCACCTTTTACATAGAGCTGAAAGAAATAGACTGTGGGCTGCAACCCAGTAGTTTCTTTTGTCGTCGTCTTCCGTTTTCTTCTCTCTCCTCCTTTCACACTTTCTTCTGTCTCCTGCCCTGTGTCTCTTCTGCTCCTTTATTTTGTCTCCTTAGAGCTGGATTTCCCCAGGCTTGAAAGACCCAGTTCTCTTCCTGGCGGTGGCCACAGTGGCCAACAAGGCGCAGGCATGGCACGGCGTGGCACACGCGGGGCAAGCCATGCTCCGGTGGAGTCGCCACTGCCGTGTGTGTAGCTGGCCTGCGTGTTTCCCAGACGTGGGTGCCCACCGAGCTCTGTGTCTGGTGCTGGCACCAGGCCCGCCTCTTCCACATGTTCTGTCGTTGACCCATGACTGCCTCTGCCGGGTTCCTGCTGTTGCCCCATTTCTACAATCGGGGAAGCGGAGGCTCAGGTAGGATGAGTCGTTGGTCCAAGGGGCGTCGCTGGTGAGAAGCGGGGCCGACACGTGAGCCCAGGTGGCCATCGCAGAATCCATGCCAGTTCCCCTGCAGGGTGTCTTCTCACTCCCCTCCGCGTCCTAACTGGGGGCGGTGAAGAAGGTAAACTGCCTCCCCAGGAGGCCGCGGCCGGCCACCCCCGCGCTGGCTTCCTCGGCGCTGCGGCCTTGTGAAGGCCACGGCGAGGCGCTGGGGCTCTGGGACCCGCTTCCGTCCTGCTGCGTCTCCCGCGCGCTGTGCGGCCCTGGACAAGCTCCTTGCTGTTTCCGAACCTGAGCTCCTTCGTTTGTAAGGTAGCAGTAAGAATATCGGCCTGCAGGTTGTCATAGAGTTAAATGACATCATAAAAAGCTTAGCAGGGAGCAAACTTGAGTGAAGTATAATTTTTAAAAGAATCATCCTTCACGTGTTGGAGTAATCCCACGAGCAGACGTGTGGCCTGTACGAGGCAGGGACGTGGGGCGTCGGGGCTTTTGTGCACTGACCTCACTCGGGACCCTGCGTTTCTTTCTTTTGCTGTTGCTACTGTTTTCCCTTCTATTCAGATAGTTTATGCGCCCGTGTTGCAGGCGTCCTTTCGGTAGTGAAGACGGGGAATAATAAGCATCTCCGGAACTCGGTGACTTCCGCTTCAGCAAGCAGCAAAGCAGGGCTCCCTCCACGGGAGCCGCGTGGCGTGGCTCTCGCGCTCCCTGCCGCGGGCTCCGCCCCCACGTGCTCCCCGCGTGCTCCCCGCGTGCCCCCGCCCCTCCGCCGCGCCCCTGCTGCTGCGGCGTCTCTGCTTCGCAAGCACGTCTCCGTGCTCACCGTGGTGCGTGGCAGCGGTGTGTGTGGCCGGTGTTGTGAGTGTGTGGACGGTGGTGTGTGTGTGGCTGGTGTGAGCATGCGGATGGTGGTGTCTGTGTGTGTGTGGATGGTGTGTGTGTGCGCGTGTGTGGATGGTGTGTGTGTGTGTGTGTGGATGGTGTGTGTGGGGGGGTGATGGTGTGTGTGTGTGGATGGTATGTGTGTGTGTGGATGGTGTGTGTGTGTGTGTGGATGGTGTGTGTGTAGGGGTAATGGTGTGTGGGGGTGATGATGTGTGTGTGGGGTGATGGTGTGTGTGGGTGATGGTGTGTGTGTGGGTGATGGTGTGTGTGGGTGATGGTGTGTGTGGGGGTGATGGTGTGTGTGAGTGATGGTATGTGTGTGTGTGGATGGTGTGTGTGTGTGGATGGTGTGTGTGGGTGATGGTGTGTGTGGGTGATGGTGTGTGTGGGTGATGGTGTGTGTGGGTGATGGTATGTGTGTGTGGGTGATGGTATGTGTGTGTGGGTGATGGTGTGTGTGGGTGATGGTATGTGTGTGTGTGGATGGTGTGTGTGGGTGATGGTGTGTGTG